AGTCTCTCCACAGGCCTAACTTGGAAAATATGGCAATTAATTCTCCAAAATATCTTAAACCTATGATCCAAAAAATAGTGATGTTGTAATAATTTTTATCTTAAGCATTTAAAAGCAAATCTACATTATATATACTTCCTTAATTATAAAGCTAAGAGAAATAAGGCCATCTTATTAAGTCATACAAATCAAACTTCTACATATTTAAAAAATGACATAGACTAGGTGTGATGGTCAAGCCTGTACTCTTAGCCACTAAGAAAATGGAAATGGGGAAAAGGTTGAGACCATCATTGTAAAAAAGTTCATGAGACTCTATCACCATCAGTGGCTGGGAGTGGTAAAAAGGTACCTGTTATCACAGAAACAAATATAGGAGAACTGCAGTCCAGACCAAACTGGGCAAAAATTAAGACCCTATCTTAAAAATTACTGGTGCAAAATGGGGCTGGCAGGGCTGGGAAGTTGGCTCAGTGGTAGAGTGCTTGCCTTGCATGCTCGAGGCCCTGGGTTCGATTCCTCAGCACCACATAAGCAAAAAGAAAAAAGCCGGAAGTGGCGCTGTGGCTCAAGTGGCAGAGTGCTAGCCTTGAGCTGAAGAGCTGAGGGACAGTGCCCAGGCCCAGAGTTCAGGCCCCACGACCGGACCCAAAAAAAAAAAAAAAAAAAAAAATGGGGCTGGCAGAATGGCTCAAGTAGCAGAATACCTGCTTACCATGTTTGAGGCTCTGAGTCCAAACTCTACTACTGCCTAAAACAAAATAAAGCTATTAGATCTTATCATAAAAATTACCAGCACTGTTGGGTAGTACTATGCCAACATAACAGACACATGGCCAAGTTAAAACTCCTAGTACTACCAAAAACGAAAACAAAAAACAGAATCAAATCAAGTAATTTATTGAGCATTTAATCTAGTATCTGGCACTGGGCTACTACGTATACTTTTTAAAAAAATTAAGTAGCATAGATTGGAAGTAAACTGCTTCTTTTCCTTCATAAAATTAATATTAACTGTAATTAATCCAAATTTCTTAACATCTAACATTTAATAAAAAAAAGTGAGGGGCTGGGAAGGTGGCTCAGTGGTAGAGTGCTTGCCTTGCATGCATGAGGCCCTGGGTTCGATTCCTCAGCACCACATAAGCAAAAAGGAAAAAGCCGGAAGTGGTGCTGTGGCTCAAGTGGTAGAGCGCTAGCCTTGAGCTGAAGAGCTGAGGGACAGCGCCCAGGCCCAGAGTTCAAGGCCCACAACCGGACCCAAAAAAAAAAAAAAAAAAAAAAGTGAGCCAAAGTACATGTCCTCTAGGGAATATAATACAGGCAATAAAAATTGTTTATTAAAAGCATATTTTTAAAAAGTCTTGGAAAATATTCTGGATATTAAGTTACAGAAAAGGCATCATGGCTCACATTTACAATCTTTGCTCATTAAGAAGTAGAGACTGGGAGGACACAGTTCAAGGCCAACCTAGGCAAAGAATTTGTGAGACTCAATCAATAGTTGTATGTGGTGTCATGTGCCCATTACCCCAGCTAAATAAAAAGGAAGATGTAAACTGAAGGATCATAGGCCAGCCTAGGCCAGGCAAAAAATAAAAAGCAAGAATCAGTGGCAAAAATTATCAGAACAAGGAGTGGGGATGAGGGAGAATGACTAAAGAGGTGTCTCATCAAGGTACATTTTATGCATATTTGGCCAAATCAAAATGAAAGCCCCTTGTACAATCAATTATATTCATTAAAAATGTGGGAGATAGGCAGGGAATGTGGCTGAGTGGTAGAGTACTTACCTACCAGGCATGAAGCCCTGGGTTCGATTCCTCAGTACCACATAAACAGAAAACGCCAAAAGTGGCACTGTGGCTCAAGTGGTAAAGTGCTAGCTAGCCTTGAGCAAAAAGAAGCTCAGGGACAGTGCCCAGGCCCTGAGTTCAAACCCCAGGACTGGCAAAAAAAAAAAAAAAAGTGGGAGAAAAAATGGGCAGGAGGTGTCATTCAGTAGAGCACCTGCCTACTAACTGCAAAGTCCTGAGTTCAAACCAAAGTACTGAAATTTTTTTTATAAATTTACATATATTTTCTAAAAATAAGATAAATAAAAAAGAATATTAATTTTTTTTGGGGGGGTCCGGTCATGGGGCCTGAACTCTGGGCCTGGGTGCTGTCCCTCAGCTCTTCAGCTCAAGGCTAGCGCTCTATCACTTGAGCCACAGCGCCACTTCCGGCTTTTTTCTTATGTGGTGCTGAGGAATCGAACCCAGGGCCTCGAGCATGCAAGGCAAGTGCTCTACCACTGAGCCACCTTCCCAGCCCCAAGAATATTAATATATTAATAGTAGTGACTTCTGTTTAATAGGCAATGGATGTTTTTTCTTCTTTTTTTTTTGTTTTTGTTTTTTGTTTTTGGGTCCGGTCATGGGGCCTGAACTCTGGGCCTGGGTGCTGTCCCTCAGCTCTTCAGCTCAAGGCTAACACTCTATCACTTGAGCCACAGCGCCACTTCTGGCTTTTTTCTTATGTGGTGCTGAGGAATCGAACCCAGGGCCTCATGCATGCAAGGCAAGCGCTCTACCACTGAGCCACCTTTCAGCCCGCTTTTTCATCTTCTTTCAGCTATGTAGTAGTTCTGGTTTCTAAATTATCTAGAATAAATGTGTTACTTTATAACAGAAGAGGGTTTGGAATGTGGTTTAGTGGTAAAGTGCTTGCCTAGCATGCATGAAGCCCTGGGTTCCATTCCTCAGTACCACATACACAGAAGAAGCTGAAAGTGGGCGCTGTGGCTCAAGTGGTAGAGCAATAGCTTTGAGCACAGAGAGGCTCAGGGAAAAAGCCCAAGCTCTAAGTTCAAGCCTCAGTCCTGGCAAAACAAACAAACAAACAAACAAAAAAACAAGAAAATTTACAGGACTACTTAATAATTCCTACAAGGTACCCATCATGTTCATAACTCAAATGTAGGCTCTTGTATCTCTTTCAAATAGCTTCTTTCTAATCTTTCACTCCAAAACCAACTTACCTTCAGAATTTCTCTCTTTTTTTTTTTTTATTTTTATTTTTTTATTTTTGTCAGTCATTGGGCTTGAACTCTGGGCCTGGGCACTGTCCCTTAGCTCTTCAGCTAAAGGCAAGAGCTCTACCATTTGAGCCATAGTGTCACTTCCGGTTTTCTTGTGGTTAATTGGAGATAAGAGTCTTATGGATTTTCCTGCCTGGGCTGGCTGTGAACTGCGATTCTCAGATCTCAGGAGCCTAAGTAGCTAGGATTACAGATGCAAGCCACCAGTGCTCAGCTCGATTATAATTTCTGTCTAATATGTATATATATTCAGTTCCCATTTTAGTCATTTTCACTTTATGAGCCATTTTTAGTACATATTTGGCTTACACCAGAATCCTTTCAGATGATCAATAAACTGTTCTATTAGGAAGAACTTATATAACATTATGATAACTAAAAAACCAAGAGATTCATTCACTAGATTCCTTTACTCCACTCACCTTTTTTTTGTTTAAGGTATTCCAAAGTTAGAATAATACATGCAATCCTGTTCAGGTTTTCACCCTCAATGTTAGGTCCTACCTTTTATCTACAACTTACCTGAAGGCAAGGAACCCTTCTGATGTGACGCATGCTGTAACTGGAGAATATGAAAGCAGTCATTTAAGCAGTTCATAGTTGCCATGGAAGTCGCTTTGAGCATTAAGAGATCCTGGTCCAAGGAACTTAGAAGGCCAGAAGCAGGAAGGCATTCAATCCGCCTAATTAGATCTCTCTGTTGTCCTTCAGCATGAGACATCATCTAAGTAAAAGAATTCAATGGATCTCACTCTGAATTTCTGTGTAATATCTATATATATTCAGTTTTTGCTATAATCATCACAGTCACTTTTTTTTTTTTTTTGGTCGTGGGGTCTGAACTCTGGGCCTGGGCGCTGTCCCTCAGCTCTTCAGCTCAAGGCTAGCACTCTACCACTTGAGCCACAGCACCACTTCCTCATCACAGTCACTTTATGAGCCATTTTTAGATATTTATTTGGCTTAGAAGTCTAATTTAACTTTTTTAGGCTATTTTCACTAGGCATTTAATGATGCCTATCACCTGAAGAAAAGAATATAATCTTTTTTCCTTTGGAAACAACAAAGCTCAAAAAAGCTAGCCAATTTTCATTAACATCAAAAATGTGTACAAGTTATCAAAAGGAATCTTCCAGGATGTCTTTAGTAGCAATTTCAAATAGTTCACTCCACAGAGCATTTCAGGTTACGGTTCTCAAGCCCTTTCCCCTCATCCCTTTGTCAGGCTTAATGTGAACCAACACTCAGGACACTGTCTTACTCGCCTCCTATTCCCTAACCTAGCTTCTGGTCCTATTAACTTGGCTGGATGGATCTAAGAGCAGTCAGCAGCCGGGCACCAGTGGCTCACGCCTATAATCCAAACAACTCAAGAGACTGAGATCTGAGGATCACAGTTCAAAGCCAGCCTGGGCAGGAAAGTCTGAGACTCTTATCTTCAATTAACCACCAGAAAACCAGAAGTGGTGCTGTGGCTCAAGTGGTAGAGCACTCTGAGCTGAAGAGCCCATAGTTCAAGCACCATAACCGACAATAAAACATACACACACAAAAAAACAGTCCATTTCAGTTAGGAGCTCAGTCTACTTTTCCTTTTTTTTTTTTTTTTTGCAATTTATTAACATTTTGAAGCTTTATTTAAATTCTTAGCACTATATACATTACTGAGGTCTTTTTTTTTTTTTTTGGGTTCAGTTGTGGGGCCTGAACTCTGGGCCTGGGCGCTGTCCCTCAGCTCTTCAGCTCAAGGCTAGCACTCTACCACTTGAGCCACAGCGCCACTTCCAGATTTTTTCTTTTTGCTTACGTGGAGCTGAGGAATCGAACCCAGGGCCTCAGGCATGCAAGACAAGCGCTCTACCACTGAGCCACCTTCCCATTACTGAAGTCTTATGAAAATGTTTCCAATATTTAAATTTGTTGAAGCCATTCTTAGGGACTTTAATGACTTTTATTGCCCTTAAGGCTTGTATCATGGCACTATTTTTGCCAGCTTTATCTAAATCTCTTCAACTACATTTAGGTAAGCAGGTGTACTGGCTGCCTTTCTATCTATTTTTTCTAACACAGCCAAGAGAATAACAATGATTGGAGGGAAATTTTTAGATGAAAACTGAATTTATGATACTTGACCATTTTCAGGTGTATGCAGATGTCTAGATTGCCCATCCTTTGGAAACTAGCTTGTTACATTATTTTTATTATAGAGGTGATGTACAGAGAGATTACAATTACATGAGTCAGGTAATGAGTACATTCTCTTTTATACAGTGTCTTCTGTTCCTTCTCTCTGTCTCAGTCCCTCCATCTTCGTCTCCATCCACAAGTTGCATAGTTCACTTTCATCAGTGTCCAGTAAACTCCACTGATGTACTTTTTCACCCTTTTCCCTTTGAGTTCTGTACCCTCCCTACAATCCTCTCTTGAATACACCAACATAAAATGACAAAATCATCACAAAGTAAAAATTTAAAAAACAAGAGATCTCTTGTTTCCGTATCTTAGAGTTCATTCTGATATATATTATTTTATGTAAATATGAAGAGGCATGTAGGCATTGTACCTTTGTTTTTCTCTCCTAAAAGTATCCTCTTCTGGTCTCACTGTGTCTAGAATCCTGTATAGTTTATCATATCCCAATGTATTTTAGATCTAATTTCTGCATATCAGAGAAAACATGCAGTTTGTCTCTGAGCTTGGCTTACCTCACTTAACATGATTTCTTCTAGTTCCATCCATTTCCCTCCAAATGACATTTTTTTCTCAAATGACATTATTTTATTCTAATGGCTGTATAAAATTCCATTGTGCATAAGTACCACATTTTTTGAATCCACTCATCTACTGGAGGGCTATTATGTCTATTATGAATAGTGCAGCAATGAACATGGATGTGCAAGTGTCTTTTTCATGTCCTGGCTCATGACATTCAGCGTAGGTGCCTAGGAGTGGCATGGCTGGGTCACAGGGAAGCTCTAGACTGCTTTCCAGAGTGGGTGTATTAGTTTACATTCCCATCAACAGTGCAGTAGGGTTCGCTTTTCCTCACATCCTCACCAACATTTGTTGTTCGATTCACTGGGATGAGAAGGAATCTTAGAGTTGTTTTGATTTGTATTTCCTTTATGGCCAGGGATGATGGGCATTTCCTCATGTGTTTCTTTGCCATCAGCACCTCTTCTGAGAAGCATCTCCTTAGCTCCTTTGCCCATTTAGTGATTGGTATATTAGATTTGGGAGGGGCTTGGAAACTAGCTTCTTTCTCACAGAAATTCTACAACGTAACTGTATTTGATGTTGGTGCCCCGCATCTTGTATATACATTTTTCTACTTTAGGGAAGAAAAGGGAAATAACAAAATGCTGAAATAAGGATACAGGTTTACTCATTGTAACAATGAGATGTATAAGACACTATGTTGAAAATGAATTTTACAACTTGGGGGTAGGGGGGAGGAGTTGGGGAGGGAAAGAGGAAAGGGATTGTAGGGGATAAACAAAGGAGGAGGTAGCAACGCTTGATAGGAAATGTATTCATTACCTTACTCATGTAACTGTAACCCCTCTGTACACTATTTTTACAATAAAAAAAATTTTTTTAAAGGAAATAGTTAAAAAAAAAAAGAAAAAAGAAAAAGAAATTCTACAATGTAGACTCTTTAGCTTTCAGAGGCTCTGTTCCAGGTAAGTTTTTTTTGTTGTTGATATCTTTTTGTTAATCATGGGGCTTTAACTCTGGGCCTGGGCACTGTCCCTGAGCACTTTAGCTCAAGGCTAATGCTCTTTACCACTTGAGCAACACCACTTCCAATTTTCTGGTGGTTAATTGGAGGTAAGAGTCTCACAGACTTTCCTGCCTAGGCTGGCTTTGAACCGTAAGACCCTCAGATCTCAGCCTCCTGAGTAGCTAGAATTATAGGCATGAGACACCAGCACCTGGCTATAAGTTTTTTAAATGTCACATTCAACATTCATTTTTTCTTTCTTTCTATGATGCTTGAGGTCAAAGTCAGGGCCTTATGCATGCTGAGAGAGTGCTCTACCACTTACTTATACTTCTAGCTCTCAGGTGGTTTGAAATATAGTTTAACACAGGTTACTATAAGAGAGATACAAAATCATCTTACCAAGTAAACCAAGTATATCATACGTGAACATGAAGCAAGCCCTAAAAACACATGCCTAAGGTTAAGGATCAAAAATTCACCCATCCTAGAAAAAAAGAAAAGAAAAAAAGAAAGTCTTGAATGAAAAGTATGAGCAGGGTGGCTCATGCTTGTAATCCTAACTCATTGAGAGACTAAAATTAGGAGGATTCTAGTTTGAGGCCAGCCTGGAAACAAATTCACAAGATCCCATCCCAAACAATTGCTGGGCACAACAGGTCACCTCTGTCATCCCAGTTATGTCAGGAAATATAAATAGGACAATCAGGGTCCAAGCTAGGCAGGCAAAAAAAGACTTCATATCAAAAATAACCACCATGGAATTCTGAGTTTGAATCACAGTACATTTATACATGCATGTGTATGTGTATTTAGAATATAAATTTGGAGACCAGTAAGGATCAGTAGTGCAAAACTTGTCTCACATACAGAAAGCCCTGGGTTTGATCACAATACTGTAGCATAATGAACAAAACTTGTGGGTCTAATCTCCAATAATCCAAACATATACATAGGCACAATCACGCTGAAGTAAAGTTTAGAAAATATATTAGAGGGCTGGAAATGTGACTTAGTGGTACAGTGCTTGCCTAACATGCATGAAGCCCTGGGTTCAATTCCTCAATGCCACATAAACAGAAAAAGCTACTCAGGCAATGTGGCAGGAAAGCCAGCTCAGGCAGAAAAGTTTGTGAGATTCTTACTTCCAATTAACCACCAAAAAAGCTGGAAGTAGAACTGTGCCTCAAGTAGTAGAGTGCTAGCCTTGAGCATAAAAGTTCAGGGATATTATTTGGGCCTTTAGTTCAAGCCTCACCTCAGGATAGCACAAACAACAAAAACAATACTGTCTTTTAACTTGTTCATTCTGTATTATTTTTTACTCTTTTATTCCCTAATGTTTTTGGTACAATGATAGTTTTTTCTGGCTTATTTTTATGTTGTCATTTCTGTCATTTTCTTTGTCTTTAATGACAGGGACTGTGCCTAATAGTACAAGGTTAAGTGGGTGCTTGGCCAGTGAGATACACTCCCAGTCCAGCTAAGAAAAACTGTGCTTCATTCTAGCCATGACCTCTAGCTAGTTCCACTTGAACTCTGGAGGATACTTCACTTAAAAAGTAGGGGAGAATGATGGAAGGAGTGACAAGATCAAGATGCATTGTATTTATAACCTGACTTCTGGACTCTGAAGCCTGTCAGTACAACTACTTAACAATAATAATAATAAAACAGGACAAGTAAAAACTCCAGCCAACGACCTGGCACAAGGAGGCGTAAATAGGGGTGCCTGAAATCACACTCATAGGTATTTACTCAGCAACAGCAGAGAGAAGTAATATACCAGTTGTATATATTGTACCACAACACAACAAATCAATATCCCAGGGCACACTGTCAAGAGAGGCAGCTTATTTTAAAAAAATCTTCATGAAATTGGAAGAGATATTCATCCCAAGAGATGCATAAATCCCAACAGACACACAAGAAATAAAAAAAAAAAAAGTGACAGCATCATGACCCTTCCTAGTTAGACAGTTAGAATGTTAGGAACTCTCAATATTATCAGCTGGTGCTGGTGACTCATGACTATTCCTAACTACTCAGGAGGCTAAGATCTGGGAATGGCGGTTCAAAGCCAGCCAGGGAAGGGAAGTCCATAAGACTCTTATCTCCAATTAACCACCAGAAAACTGGAAGTGGTGCTGTGGGCTCAAAGTGGTAGAGTGCTAGCCTTGAGTGAAAAATCTCAGGGACAGCACCCAGTTGGAGTTCAAGCCTCACAACCAATAAAAGAAGAAAAAAAAAAGCCTCACCAAAAGCTAGGCGACAGTGGCTCATGCCTGTAATCCTAACTATTCAGTAAGCTTCAGATCTGAAAATTGTGATTCAAAGCCAATCGAAGCAGGAAAGTTCATGAGTCTCATATCCAATTAATCACAGAAAAAGCCAGAAGTGGAGCTTTGGTTCAAGTGGTAAAGCACTAGCCTTGGGCAAAAGGAGCTTAGGCAGCAGCTAGGTCCAAAGTTCAAGCACCAGGACCAGCAAAAAAACAAAAACAAAAAACAAAAAGCCAACAGACTAAATCAAGCAGAACAGGTAAAGCCTCAGATGGCACAAAATATATTTAAAACATTTTTGTGACAAAACTGAGAAAGATACTGTTTTTTTGGTTTTGCATTTTAACTTGACTTCAATTCATACTTACTTCTCTGACTTCCACAAGATGGTCTGGAGGTAAGTGGGCTCTTTTACTCACTGACTGTAGTTTGGAATGTCCAACATTAAAAAAAGAAATGGCGTTTTGACTTGGTCTTCTCTGGGATATGGGCGAATTACCACTAGATGCAAGTGAGAAGCTCCTGGACTTCAGAGGAGGATTATTCTGTGAGACAAAATCATTCCATTCTGTTTTTTAAATACTGACTCTTTCTCCCTCAAAAGTACCACACATCTGAGGTTTAAATATGTACAATTTTGAAAATTAATCTTAGAATTCACTACAGACCACTTCTGAAGGTAAAAGTTACTTAAAGCTTAAACATTTCACCTATCCCATAATAAACTAAAATTTTATTTAGAAAATTGACTTCCAACTTTGTTTTTCAAAGAAAAATTTTAATATCAGAATAATTGAATATTTCTAATTTCAGGGTTTTTTTAATTCTTTGGTCGTGGGGCCTGAACTCTGGGCCTGGGCGCTGTCCTTCTGCTCTTCAGTTCAAGGCTAGCGCTCTACCACTTGAGCCACAGTGCCACTTTCACTTTTTTCTGCTTATATGGTGCTAAGGAATCAAACCCAGGGCCTCATGCATGCAAGGCAAGCACTCTACCATTTAGCCATCTTCCCAGCCCTAATTTCAGGTTTTTAAACTAACATA